TCTTGTCTTTGTGCTCAGAGCTGGCTTTGGGATTCAAGATCTCTCTTCTGTGTTTTCTCTCAGTTCTTGTTTTGTCACACCCTGGCCTAGACCAGTATTTTGTCTCTAACTCACAATGAGGTGTGATGGACCAGGCGGACTTGGATCTATTTACTTGGGTGAACTTGGACAAGTTAAATTTCCTCCCAAAATCTCAGTTTCTTCATCTCTGATACACAGTGACAATAATAGAATCTGAACACAAGGGTTTGTGGTGAGGATGGAACACTATAAGTGAAGGTATGTAGTAGACTCTCTGACTAGAAAGTGATCCATTGATGTTCGTTTCCTTCCTGTCTTACACTGTTTCGGTTTCAGTTTTCTCCTCCATAAAGTCAGGCCCTTCCAGATTTAGAAGTCTTTGATTCTAGAAAATAGAACTTATTTCTGAGGGAAACTGTTACAGGGTTAGGTAGGCTTTCGCCCAGGTTCTAAAATCACCTTAGATCATGCCATTGTGCATTTTCACTTACTTAGACGCTAAGAAAAGGCAATCTAATTTCCAATCTGGACATATTAACTAATTATGCAAGACGATGGCCATTTCCTTGGGGAGAGAAGTAAATAAGTATAACTTGGTCTTAGTTCAGGAAGGTACCATAGAGAGTAGCTGGGTGAGAGGACTGCTTGGGCAGAGAGACCTTTAGAGGACTGTCAAGGGTATGGGGTAGGGGGAAACAGGGTCCCCCACTGGGGATTGGAAGGAAAAACTATAAAGAGAGAGACAGCTGGCAGAAATCAATCTAAGATTTCCTTCCCCTAACAAAATCAGAGAAGCTCTGATGCCAAATGGAAAGTTTTTGCACTGTGCTTAGGTGTTCAGGTTCTGGAGTCAGCCACCTGAGTTGTTCAAATCCCAGCTTTGCCACTTACTGGCTATGTCTTTCCTAGCCTGTTTCTTCATCAGTAAAATGAGAATAATATGACCAACCTTACAGGCTTGATGGGAGGATCAAATGAGAAAATGTACAAAAAGCACTCAGCACCTTGTTTGGCACATAATAAGTACTCATTAAGTTGTGTCATCATCATCATTGTCTTCATTGTCATCATCATGATCAAGCTTTGCACAGAGCTATAAGGCTGGAGGATTCCCAGAGGATGAGTAGAGCCCATTTCAATGCCAAAACCAGAAAGGAGCCTTCAGTGGTAATACAACCCCAGGTGGAGAACTTGTCCTCCTCAAGAACCACCCCAAATGAGGTAACCAAGCCCACAAGATCAGGAACTTAGTAGAGAGGGTAGGAGACAATGCACCATCTGCTAACTTTTTATTCCAGCCACTAAGTTATGTTAAAATTTGCATTTTTGTTGATTAATTCATGAATATAGTTTATGCCCCTAGCGCTTGGAAGGTAAGTGAATGAGGTCTGCTCACCATTAGCTTAGCATGGGGAAAGTGCCCAGATGCTTACTTCACAAAGTTGAATCTTCCCAAAATTCTTTCTCGAAACTGTCTGGGCCAAAAATAGGAAGGATAAAGATTACATTAATAATCATTATTTCTCTCCTCCCTCAGCCATGTTCATACAGCACTTTACAGTTAAAAAATATGTTCATTCACAGTATCTTACTTTTCACAACAAACTATAAAGTAGGCAGCATTATTATATCGTTCATTTAAAAGATGAGGAGAACAAGATGCAGGAAGGGGAACTGACTTCTCTGAACTCATATAGTCAGTAAAGATGTGACTCCAAGTTATTTAACTCCAAATGTGTGCTTTTCTGCTTCTCCCACATTGCCTTTGAAATGCAGACACATCCTTCTTAAGTGACTTATGTTGTCTTCCATAAACAACCTTGGGACTTCTTTCCGAAACATGCCTTTGTTTCTGTACAGAACAGAAGACAGACGGAACGACAGGGAAAAGAAGGTGAGGTGGGGAAGTCTACTTTGTTAAGGAGATTTATTTTTGGATAATAGGGAGGCTCCTTAGGGTTTGGAAGAGTCAATAGGTAACGTGATCCTGGGCGAGATGGAAAAATGCATACTCAGAGATGACAGATCAGTTCTTAGCAAAGGCAGTCAAGCTGTTCTCTCACAGGCTTTGTGGCTTGTTTTGGGAGCATCTCAGATTGGCATAGTCAAAACTCTAGGGGTGTTTAATGTTCCCAGAAAGAGGAGTAGGCCCAGAAATAAAGTGAGAGAAATTTCCAGAGACTTTGAGGTAAGGTCACCATAAATAGATAGCTCTGAACACCTTGTCCTGATTTCCCTTCTTTGTGAGTCTGAAGGGTTATGCTTCCACACTGCCACCTGAACTCTCATTCTTGTGGACTATTCCCAACATAGTTTCCTTTCCAGATATTTCTTCTCTTATCTTTTAGCAGACTATTGCTTAAGGGCGGGTTGGCAAACTTTTTCTGGAAAGGGCCAGATGGTAAATAGTTTAGCCTTTGGGGGCCACGTGGTCTCCTTGAAATTATTCAGCTCTGCCAATATAGTGCAAAAGCAGCCATAGACAATACGGAAATGAATGAGTGTTGTGTTCTAATAAAACTTTATTTACAAAAAACAGGTGGCAGGCCAAACTTGGCTGGTGGGCCGTAGTTTGCCAATTCCTGCTTTAGTGTTACTCCCATCCAGCCAACCAGTTTCCATTTTACTTTCTCATTTCCCAACCATAAACACTCAATTATTTTCAATTCCTTCATGTACTAGCAAATTCTCTAAGCCCCCAACCAATACTTTCATTGATCCTTGCAGCTAATACACGATGCGTTTCTGCTATAGGGCTAAAACACGCAAGGACTTGGAAGGAGAGGGACACCTAGAAGAGTATTCATCCCAAGCTCTCCTTCCAGAGAACTGGTGGCAAAACCCTATGGATGAGGAGTATCTGATTCCCAAACAACTCTACCTCATGCCCTCGCTGTCCTCTTCTCTGAGTAATAGGGAGAGCCATTTGGGGCTATGATGATTCTGCCTCCTTTGAAGGCATCTGAGGAAACTCTGATTTCACCAGCCCCAGCATCCAGGAGGAACCTGATGTGACATAAGCTGAATGGAATAATTTTATGGGATGACGGGGGACTCTTTGGACACATCTCACTAGCATATTTTGGAGAAAATTCAGCTGAAGCTTTGAGGAAAGAAAACTATGCTGTATGCCAAGCCCCCACCCACCATTAAGGGTATAAAAGGGCCATAGAGGAGGGAGAGGCTCATACTTCACCCACATCCACCTCCAGCAGTCTACCTACTCTTCTATCACCTCTCCCAGCACCATGCCGCACACCTGTTGCCTGCCCAACCTGAGCTGCCACGTCAGCTGCTCCTCCCGGCCCTGCGTGCCCCACAGCTGCCACAGCAGCACCCTACCTGGAGCCTGCAACATCCCTGCCACTGTGGGCAACTATGGCTGGCTCTGCCAGGGCTCCTTCAATGGCAACGAGAAGGAGACCATGCAGTTCCTGAATGACCGCCTGGCCAACTACCTGGAGAAGGTGCGCCAGCTGGAGCAGGACAATGCAAAGCTGGAGGGCTGCATCCGTGAGTGGTGCCAACAGCAGGTGCCCTATGTGTGCCCAAATTACCAGTCCTACTTCCGGACCATCGAGGAGCTCCAGCAGAAGGTGAGGGATAGACTTTGAGGCAGCACAGAGGAAGCTGGCTGTCTTTGAACAATATGATATTCTCAAGTTCAAGTGATCCTCACCTTAGAATCTTGTTTTCAGATTCTGTGTGCCAAGTCCGAGAATTCCAGGCTGGTGGTGCAGATTGACAATGCCAAGCTGGCCTCTGATGACTTCAGAACCAAGTACGTTGAGACTTTTGGACCAGGCGACTCTATGGCCTAAGGACTCTATGGCCCTTTCATGGTCCTATGGGCCTAATGTTGCCTAGAAGGGAGGAGAAAGCCATTTCCCCTTTTTATTTCTCCTCTCAAGGTTGATTATGTAAAATCAGTTTCAAACAGGGATCCACACCCATATGCTATCTGCTCTTCACTCTACACTGGTTTTTCTGGAAGGGTTTCTTAAATCCCCCAATTCAGAGATTTAAATCAGTTGGTCTTTGAGAATGGATCAATTTGGTGATAACCAACAAAAATGAGAGGGAAGTGAGAGACTCCATCTCATGAGTCTTCTCAGGTGCCTTCTGGTGAGTCAGGAGGCCTTTGCAGCTGATCCATGCAGAACTTGAGGGAAATATGTGGACGACAACAGGCAGAAAGCAGTATAAATTCAAAGAGTCAAGATAATCTCACCCAAACAAGACAGGGAGGGGAGGAGGGCTTCTTTCCTGGATCATCCTCCCCCAATCTGTGTTTGAAGGTATGAGGCGGAGCTGTCCCTGAGGCAGCTGGTGGAGGCTGACATCAACAGTCTGCGCAGGATCCTGGATGAGCTGACTCTGTGCAAGTCCGACCTGGAGGCCCAGGTGGAGTCCCTGAGAGAGGAGCTGCTGTGCCTTAAGAAGAACCACGAGGAGGTGAGAGGAAAATAAAAAGGCAAGCTTCAGAGCTAAGCCATTAGCATTGGGAACCAGGAGGCAACACCTGATAGGTTCCCTGGCCTGGGACCCTTCTCCAAAGAACTCAAGTTTAGCTCAGAGAATGATACACTATATCCACATCAAGGAGTGAGGTGAGCTGCTAATTCTCAATCAGTTGGCCCAGATTGGGCAGAAGTTGGAGATGTTGAGAAAAAATGTTATTCAGCCCTACTTTCTGTGGGTCACTGTGAGGTCCTGAACTTGGTGATGGAGATGGAGGGAAAAAAAGCAGTAAGAAATGGCCCCTCTCTTCAAAGAGTTCACAGTGAGAGATAGCCATGTACAAGGCAGAGTGAAGTGTCATGAGATGTACAAGCATCATGTTCTGGAAATAATCCAGTCTGCCTGAAAGGAGATAGGGAACTCTTCTCAGAGGCATATCTTGAAGCAGGAGGAGTATTTCAATACTTGGGTGTTCAGTCTGAGGGAAGAGGCTGAGCAGTTACAGAAGTGGAAGAGCAGGGTGTATTTAAGTATGGCCAATGAGTCAGTGTGGCTGTGAAATGAGGTAGGAACTACACAGCCAAGGAGTTGATACTTAGTTCTATAGAAAATGTGAGGTGATTCTAGTTTTCTGAGAAAGGAATTGATGTGATCCCTATTTGAGTTTATTCAAATGCAATATATATGTAAATCTTTGGGAACAATCAGGGTGTTCCATTTAGTATATTCCTGACAGGGCTGGCTCACTTTCCTATAGTAGAAAGTTTGCAGATTCATTTCTGTGGGTTCATTCCTTCCCTTTACTCTGTCAGGAAGTCAACTCTCTGAGAAGCCAGATTGGAGACCGCCTCAACGTGGAGGTGGATGCTGCCCCAACTGTGGACCTGAACAGTGTGCTGAATGAGACCAGGTATCAATATGAAGCCCTGGTGGAGACCAACC